TGGCAGTATTGCAAAGTCTATAAAAACTTTATCGACACCAAAGATAATTCACCAGCGGCAGCATACTGGAAATGGGCTGAAAATGGATGGAACGATTCGAAGGCCCATCGCTTTCCACTTGGGCGACGAGCGGGAAAACCGCTGTATTCTCTGTGGAACGGCGAAAAACTGAATTATATCCAAGCAAGAAAAGTGATCTATGCACCATTATATGCGAAATATATTGAACAAACAGAAGCCTACCGAAAATTATACGATTTGTATTTGACGAATTGTTGCGGAGAGGCTGAAGGCCAACGACCGATGGCATTACTAGACTACGATGGATGGGATCATTTGGGGCAAAACTGCTGTTTGGAATCTGTGATTGACATGGAAAAACCAAAGATGGGCCATGCTTTTATTATAGCGGGTCTATTAGAAAATAATTTATTTTGGTTAACAGAACCTGTTAAATCGAACGTCGAAGAACTAAGAAAATCCGGTCGATTACTCAAAGATATTTAGATGAAACAACAACAAGAATAAAACAGTTTTGGTTTAGTCTTACAAGAGCGTTTTGTGGGCTCTGGACCCCGCTCCTCTTTCTTTCTTTCACCAGTATCAGTATTGCGTGATAAAATGAGATGTGCTAGAGTATTGTTGGACTTCTTGTACCTGCAGAATCGAGTCCACGTGATGACAGTCTATAAGTCTCATACATAAGCAAAATACGGCCCTTGTTTGGATTGCCTTTTAGAAGAATTAAACGGATAGAGTAAAATTCCCTCTATAAACTAGATATACCTGGTAAATTTACTTCGTACGATTTACGATTGTGATGCATAAGCTACGTTTCAGATTTGGATTTATTAATAAAACCGGATAACTTCGATATTGTGACATTTATCGAAGATTTTGAAACCCATGAGTCATATGACCTACTGCATGTTTCTCACTTTTAGGGTGGAATTAATGGTGAGGGACACAGTTGCTATTAGGATCTGAATAAAGAAGGATTTTTTTCTAAAATCTTTATAGGTGAATCTGTCATTTTTCCTTTTCCTTTCCATTTGACAGAACAAGCGTTCTGTCTCATCATCATACAGGCAAAGAAAGAAGATTTTCTTGTTTAAATTTAATGAG